TTCCTGCCTGTGGCAGGGGGTCAGGCTAGATGGTCTGTTCAGGTCCCTCCTGACCCTAGCTACTATGAAACTATGATGCCTATGTCGAAGGATTTTGTGACTTGGTCATAGAAGGCCACCAGGTTGGTCTGACAGGCCCTGCCTCTAATGAACCCATGTTGGTTGCCCCTAAGCATGATCTCCCCTGCTGGCCCCTCGCAGACATGCGCCAGGATAATTCTCTCAAAAAGCTTACCCAGGATCGAGGTAAGACTAACTGGCCTATAGTTTTCTGGGTCCTTCTTCCTCCCTTTTTTGAAAATGGGAACCACATTGGCCCTTTTCCAGTCCTCTGTCACCACACCAGAGCACCACGAGTGCTCATAAAGCTGTGCCAGGGGTCCTGCAATGACCTCAGCTAATTCCCTCAGCACCCTGGGGTGAAGATCGTCAGGACCAGCTGATTTAAATACGTCCAGTCCCTCCAGAAATCCCTGACTAGATCCTCACTGACCCTAGGCCTGGGTGTGCCTCCCCTGGGTTCTATGGGGGTCCTGGTGTGGGGGGTGACCCAGTCCATGCTCAGAAAAATGGAGGCAAAGAAATTGTTGAATAGGTTAGCTTTGCTGTGTGGTGCGATGACCAAATTTCCTAGCATGCCTTGCAGAGGCCCCAGGTTACCTGGTACCTTCTTTTTACCCCCTATGTATTTAAAACAGGAGTTCTTGTTGTCCTTGATCCAGGTAGCTAGTCCCAGTTCCATCTCCGCCTTGGCCTTCCTGACCACCCCCCTACAGCCCCGAGCAACCAAAGCATAGTCCTCCCTGGTGATGACCCCTCCCTTCCATTGGGTGTACGCCTCCTTTTTAGCTAGGAGACGTTCCCGTTTGCTTTTGGTGAGCCAAGGGGGCTTTTGCACCCTCTTACCTGCTTTGATCCGTGTTGGGATTACCTCCCTTTGGACTTGGAGGATTGTCTCCTTAAGGAATGACCACTCTTCTTGGACCCCCGACTCCTCTCCCCTCCGGGACCTCAGTGCCTCCCCTACTATTCTCCTTACCTCATTGAAGTCCGCCCTCCTGAAGTCCAGAGCTGCTGCCTTGCTGCACGCCTTTGCCACCTTGTGCTAGATGGTGAATTCCAGCAGGTGATTATCACTGTCACCCAGGTGGTCAAGCACCTGCAGACCCCTCACCAGGTCATTGCCCATGGCCAGGACCAGATCCAACAAGGCATCTCCCCTGGTGGGACTGTGCACCTCCTGGGTTAGATGGAGGTCCTGTATCTTGGCTAGGAACCTATGTGAGTGGTCAGACCTGGCTTTCCCTTGGTTGGGTGGTCTGTAGTAGACCCCCACCATTAAGTCCCTGTCCCCTCAACTTCCTTGTATTCTAACCCGGAGCACTTCACTGTGCCCCTTCTCTGACCCAGTGCTACTCATTGAGGATGTGTATTTCTTCTTGATGCAGAGCGTCACACCCCGCACCTTTCCTCCCTGTCCTATCCCTCCTGTACAGCCTATAGCCCTTGATATTCACTGCTGCTCTTGAGATCTCTGTAAATTGGTGTTCTTGAGAGCAGTAGCAGGGGCATGGTCAAAATAATCCTCTGTTCCTGGTTTGGGAAGTGAAGTTGAAGTGCATGAGAGGCAGCATTCCTATGAGCTCTGTGGAGGCAGTGGAGGTGTGCCCTGTCTTCTTATAAAAAACAATAGAAATGTTCATTTTTATTATACATGCATCAATAACAGTGCATTGCAGTTTGGGCTGCAAGGTTAATCATATTTCAAATACACCTTTTCTTCCAAAACCATCACATCTACCCTGGAAAATACACAGGAAAAAGGAAAGGGGAAAGAGGAAAAAAAATCCCTATGCCAAGCAGAGATTTTTTTTTTCCCATCAGGGAGAAGTGTCAAACTCTCCAGTAGAGGCATTGCTATTACTTGTAACTTTGTATAGGCGGTGCTAAAGTACCAAAGTAATAGGCAGCAGACAAACCTCTAAGATAGATTTGCCAACAATTCTGCTTACCCAAATTATAGTTTGCCACTGGCTTCTGTCATGAGATACCCTAACCTAATGAGAAAGGATAAATATAAACAACTATTATTTGCAACAAGAAAGTCAGAGATGTGTTTGCCATGATGTAAGAAACAGAAAGAACACAGCATGATTTTCAGGTCTAAGACTGAGATTGAGATTGCAGGTATGACTTTCAGAACATTTTTTTTTTCCTTTTTTTGCAAGTGAAGCAAACATGTTACCTGTGTATCTGGACGAGAAATAGCATGGAACTCCAGGTCACTTTTAATTTTTCCATTCTAATGGCAAGGTCTACTGGACTTTAAAGGCAAAATACTAGCTGATTATACAAGGTGCCTTAGCTTTGCACAC